CTTGACCTCATGGAAAAGGTTAAGAATTATTCCCTGCTCTTCACTTAACTCGATTTTGTGTAGAATTAATATTATTTCCTTTTAAAATATTTAGTCAAATTCTTTAATGAATCCATTTGGGCCAGGAGTTTTAATTGTGGGAAGGTTTTTTTCTTTTATTCTTTTTAAAGATTTTATTTATTTATTCATGAGAGACACAGAGAGAGTCAGAGACATAGGCAGAAGGAGAAGCAGACTCCCCCAGAGGGAGCCTGATGTGGAACTTGATCCCAGGATCCCGGGATCACGACCTAAGCCAAAGGCAGACACTCAACCGCTGAGCCACCTAGGTGCCCCTGTGGAAAGGTTAATTTTAACTACAATTTTAATTTCTTTAATAGATATAGGTCTATTCCGGTTTTCTATTTCTTCTTATATGAACTTTGGTATACTATTTTTCAAAGAATTTGTCTATTTCACAAAGTTTGTCGAAATTATTCCTATAAAGTTTAAATGTCCCATTCTTATCACCTTAGTATTTGTAGACTCTCTAGTGATGTTATTTCTCCTATTCCTAATATTGGTAATTTGTATATTTTCTCTTTTTTTTTCTGATTAACCTAGCTAGAGGTTTATGAATTTTTAGTAATTTTCTCAGTGAACTAATGCTTCATTTCACTGGTATTTTTTCTGTTTTTTTTCTTGTTTTTATTTTCTTGTTTTCCTCTTTCAACTATATTTGTTCTTTCTTTCTGCTTCCCATTGGTTTAATTTTTCTTTTTTTGGTTTCTAAGGTGGAAGCTGAGGTCATTGATTTGAAACCTTTTTTTTTTTCTAACATTTTAGTGGTTATATCAATAAATAAAACAGTAGGAGGGCAACAAATGTTATGAAAATACAGATAAGATAGTTTTTTGAGAATGCTTCTGATTAATGGGATATTATCAGTAATATTTGGTGAATGGTTTATCAGAATCATGAAGAAAAAAAGATTATTGAGGGATGCCTGGGTGGCTCAGTGGTTGAGCATCTGCCTTTGGCCCAGGGCATGATCCTGGAGTCCGGGATCGAGTCCCACGTCGGGTTTCCTGCATGGAGCCTGCTTCTCTCTCTGCCTATGTCTCTGCCTCTCTCTCTCTATGTCTCTCATGAATAAATAAATAAAATCTTTAAAAAAAAGATTGTTGATTCTCAGGTTTATGTTGAAAGAGATTGAATAGTGTATTACCAACTGAGGTATAAAATATAAAAGGAAAAGTTAATATAGTGATGGAGTAATTCTGTTTTGGATATATTGATTTTGGTATTTTTGTTAGACATCCATTTGGTTATATCACGTTCTTTTTTGTATTCATAGCAGAGTAAAGAGATCATGGCAGGAAATAAAGATTCAAAAGTTATCAGGATGGAGAGTATAGTTGTTAGTGTTTGGGAATAGGAGCCCAGTCTTGCCAAACCTTCCCATATTTCTAGAAACAGTGGATTTAAAAATACATATATAATCTTTGGGACACCTGGGCGATTCAGTCAGACATCTGATTCTTTTTTTTTTTAATTTTTATTTATTTATGATAGAGAGAGAGAGAGAGAGAGAGAGAGAGAGAGAGAGGCAGAGACACAGGCAGAGGGAGAAGCAGGCTCCATGCACCAGGAGCCCGATGTGGGATTCGATCCCGGATCTCCAGGATCGCGCCCTGGGCCAAAGGCAGGCGCCAAACTGCTGCGCCACCCAGGGATCCCTAAACATCTGATTCTTAATTTCAGCTCAGGTCATGATCTCAGGGTCATGAGATCTAGTCCTGCATGGGGCTCCCCACTCAGCGGGAGAATCTGCTTGGGATTCTTTCTCTGCCTCTCCCTCTGCTTCCCCCTCACCCCTACTCTCTCTTTCAAATAAATAAAATCTTAAGAAAAGATGTAATGTTTCTAGATTTGTAAAATACTGTGCTAACCAAGTATAATACAGTTAAAAAACAGGACCTGTAGGTGGCCTGTTTGCTATTCACGTTATCCATTAGTAGCTTATTTTCCTAAGATGAATGGGTGTCCCAACTGAAGCAGTGGATTGCATCATTTCATCAGAAATAGCTACCAAATTTATTTGATGATCTGCACATGTATGCAAACTTTCATGTTTTGATAAAGCTTTGAGAATACCAAAGAGAAGATATAGTATACAAGAGAAGAGGGTGAAGAAAGAACCCTTGAAAACATTAAGAATATTAAGAGAGGGACATCTGGCTAGCTTAGTTGGTAGAGCATGTGACACTTGATCTTGGTGTTGTGAGTTCAAGCCCCATGTTAGGAGTAGAGATTACTTACAAAAAAGAAGAAAAAAGGAAAGAATGTTAGAGTAGGATCAGTGAAGGCTAATGAAACCTAATGCAGAGTTGCTTTCATTTATTTATTTTTTTTAAACTTTATTAACCTTGTTTCAAACTTTATTCCCAGGCTTCTTCAGCTTAATTAGCTGCTAAGAATGAATTGTGTATAAGCAAAAACTGAAAAGAGCTGCAGTGTCCAAGGGGCTTGGGCTTAAAAATATTAGAGATCTAGATTTTATCAGACCCACGAACAAAATTTTAAAAAGCAGTCATAATATAAAATAGCAGCTCCTAGTAACTTCTTCAAGTTTTATCTTCTTCAGAAGTTGACTCAATTCAGTTTGCTTCATTCTTGGAAGCTTCATCAAAATTCTCCACAAGATCTGGAACTTCATCATCATCATCCTCTCCAGTAGTAGGTGGTGCTTTTCCATCCACGGATTGTTTGGGCAGAGCTTCAGCCAGTCTAGTCAGACTGTCTGCACCAAGCTGGTTTAAGATACCGGGTAGCATTTCTGTCAGCTGCTTTGTCTCAGCATGGCCTGTAATGGTGAAAGTGTTCGCTGCCAGCGATGCCTGAACTTTAGAGTTGTTAAAATGGATCACTGTTCTTGGTTTGTGAACATATTCACTTCTTCAATACCAGAGATATTGTTTACCCCTAACTTCTTTAAGGAAAACTCAAGGTTTTTTTATCATCTGCTGTAGCTGTTCTATGAACCACCTTCTTCTTTCAGTGAGCAGTTCCTTTCCCACCAATATGCACTTGTGCTTGCAGTTTGGCAAGTTTCTCCTGGTTCATAATAGTTTCTTTCATCTTGTTGGAGCACAAATGGGACTGCGCGGGGGACTAGGGTTGGCACTCAGAGGGTCTCGGGCGGACCAGCTGAGGTTAGGCGCACATATGCGGGGATGCCAGATGGCAGCTAGAGGCCAGAGTTGCTTTTAAACTTTTTTTTTCTTTTTAAAGATTTTATTTACTCATGAGAGACAACAGAGAGAGGCAGAGACACAAGCAGAGGGAGAATCAGGCTCTCCACAGGGAACCCGATGCAGTACTTGATCCCTAGACCCTGGATCAGGCCCTGAGCCGAAGGCAGATGCTCAACCGCTAAGCCACCCAGGTGTCCCTGCTTTTAAACTTTTTATAGAATTGTGAAGCTCAAATGACACGTGATGTCCTTGTAAGGGGAGGTGTAGTTATTTATGAAATTCTAGATCCCTGGAACTACAAGCGAAAAAGCATCACTAGAAGCTGGAGAGAAGTAAACTAAAGACAAAATAAGTAGTGAATCTCTTCATATATCAGAGACTATGGATCCTGAGAACTGGTAGAATGAACAAACCAGAGCAGACAATTTTGTACAGGACTGAAGAGTTTACAAAGCACTTCTACCTCTTGACTATTCACTTTGTTTCTCACACAGTCCAGTGTTCAGGATAAAGAAACTGAATCTCAGGGAATTTTAGTACCTTGAGTACTTCATATTGCATGGCCCTTAGATGTCCTGGCTGGAAATGTAGTGCTCTTTCTACTCCAACACAAGAGCCTAGGGAACATCTAGCAGGACTGTCTCACTTTAAAATATTTGCTTATTACATGGATTAGATCAACCTCAGATGAAAACACAGTCTGTAAAATAGAATCCCATACCATAAAAATTTATTGAAACAGACATTTTAGAAGTAGAATTTACACAATGAGATATCACTTCACATCTGTTAGAATGGCTATCATCAAAAAGACAAAATATTGGTGAGGGTGTGGAGAAAAGGGAACCCTCATGCCTTGTTGGTGGGAATGTAAATTGGTACAGCCATTATCTAAAACAGTATGCGGGTTACTCAAAAAATTAAAGATAGAAATATCATAAGATGTAGCAATTCTACTTCTGAGTGTTTATCCAAAGAAAATAAAAATACCCATTCAAAGGGACATTTGCACCCCTATGTTCATTGTGGCATTATTTACAATAGCCAGGATATTGAAGCAACCTAAGTGTCTCATCAACTGATGAATGGATACAGATGTGGTATATATACAATGGAATACTACTCAGCCATAAAAAGAATGAAATCTTCCCATTTGTGACATGGATGGACCTTGAGGAAATTATGATAAGCAAATTAAGTCAGACAGAGAGAAAGAAATCTTGTATGCTTTCACTTACATATGTAGTCTTAAAAAACCCCAAATGAACAAACAAAATAAAATGTACATCATAGATACAGAGAACAGAATGGTGTTTGCCAGAGGAGAGTAGGTGAAATCAGGTGATGGGGGCTGATGAGGTACAAACTTTCAATTATAAAATAAATAAGTCACAGAGATATAATGTCCCACAGAGTGACTATAGTCAGTAATATTGTAGAATATACTTAGAGTTGCCAAGAGAATAAATCTTAAAAGTTAACTTTGTATGGTGATAGTACTATGATTTACTGTGGTGGTCATTTTGCATTATACTGTATACATATTCCAAATCATTATGTTTTACATCTCAAATCAATATAATGTTATATGTCAATTACACCTCAATAAAAGAATAAAAAAATTAGAATTTAATTTAATTAGAATCATACAGTTTTTGCTTGAAGTTTTACAAGAAATGTTTTAAAAATCCAGTTCTGGTTTGTCTTAGCTTTACTGCACTATTAAAAAACAAATGTTCTGATATCATTTATTTTGTTTTTCAGGAAAGACTTTGTTTGCCTCATCATATTTTGGAAGAGAGAGGTCTTGTGAAAGTCGGTGTCACAGTTCAGGCTCTTCTTGAATTACCTACAACCAAGGCATCTCAGCTTTCTACAGCTTGATGTAACATTTCAAAATTATAAGTGTATAGTTGCTTTTATTTGAAGTGATTTCAAATATCTCAAATTCATGATAACGTCTAATCAAAAATAATTTTGTTAGGTCAAGCCTTAGGTTTTAAAAAAATTATGTTAAAACATCAAAATTAAATTAAGAATTGCCCAAACTTCTTTTTGGGGAAAACTGGATTAACTTAAGACTTTTCAATTAAATTCAAATTCTCTTTTTACTAAGTCAGTTGATAACCTTGATTATTTTTCAAAAACCAGATTGATACTAAATTTAAAATGTGGTTTCAATTTAATAATCACATTAGGTTTAATTTTTTATATCATAGCATACTAGTAAGCACCTGGATGAGGTAATCATTTTTTTACCGATTTAAAACTATTCTATATTTGAGTTATTTAATACACTTCTAATTCTAGTTTATACACAGTTTCTTCAATCTTTGGTCTTAGTTTTCTAGAAAAAAAAATGAGTAGAAAATGCAGAACTCTGGCTTTATATTAAATTCTTTTAGTATTATAGGTTGGTGCCAAAATATTTTCAGTTGTACTGTAGATTGTTTACATGTGAAGTGCCTGTGTAATTGATGACTCTTATATAGTCTTAAGCATTTTTGCAATTTCTTTTTATGTATTAATGGAATCAATGGAACTTTAAAATATTTTAGTAGATTTTGTAAGGTCAGTAATATGTGAGGATTTAAATGTGCCTCACATTGTGACATTTGTGGTTTTTTATTTAGTCCATTGCAGTTTTCCTTAAATTGGTTATGTCATGTTGTCAAAAAAACTCCAATGTTAATATGCTTAATTTATGCTATTTAATTTTGCAAAACATAATCATCTTTTAAAATGTATTATTTGAAGAGTATTTTATTTCTGTATTGAAAATGTTACACAAAGCAGTAAGGTTTTTGAGAAGTAGCAAAGTACTAATTATCAAGGACATTTTGATTAAACTGCCAAAGTTTGGGTTTATGTCTTGATTTTCAGTAACATTATGTCAGTGTGCTGCCATTAGTTTTATTGAGATTAAGACAGCAGCAATTGAAGAGTAGGTTTTATTTGAAATTTGGCCATCTGTGGATCCCGTAAATCTTAGGATCCTTAATTAACAATATGTTGAATTAAACAGACCATTCTATAAATATTTTCATAAGTATACTATGTTACTGAGTCCTTGTTTAATTTGGAGAGGGATAAATTTATGTTGGTAGTAGTGCAGGAATTTTTCAAAAACATTACTGTAATGAATAACTCAGTTTGCTATAGAAGAACCTTAGTATAATTACTTTTGTAGTAGCCAAGCAAGTACCATATCTTAAATATGTGATTATTTGCACTTGTTACCTCTTAATATGGATGCAACTTATTAAAAGTGTTGGCCTGGGAATTTCAAAGGGTATATATAAAAGGTAAAAACTAGTGTGCCAAATGGTAGTAAGGTTTGGTTTAGGAGCATCTCAACTTTTTTTGATCAGTTGGCATGAAGCCATATTATTACATTTTGGCATTAGAATACAGATGTGTTCTTTATATTCCCCAAGTGTGAATTTGGAGCTTTTAAAGAATTAAAGCTTCTTATGACTATAAGGTTTAAAAATTAAATTATTAGTAATTTATTACTTTAAATATTTGAGCTAATTAGTTACTATTTTTCAGTTGGATCTAAAAAAAACTTCATTGGCATAATCAGTCTCCCTAGTGAAAACTTGGGTAATAAAGGTAAGAAATGGCAAATAAATATCTTAAGTTGTTAGTTTTTATTGTAGAAATTTGACAATGTTACAAATAAAGTGACCAGTAAAAGCTACAGCAATCATTCATATTGCTTTCATAGTTATCATGCTGTAGGAGTCCTCTTATTAATCAAGCTAGGTGTTAATTATTTTACAAGTATTTTCCTGTTTCATATCATTGAAATATTAGTGAAATTATAGGCCATTTCCTTATTGCATTTCACTTACTTGTCAGTTATTATCTTAAAGGGTAAATACAGCAGAATTTTACTATAGCATTCTTACTGCAAAAAAAAATTCGACTTAAGATGGGTTCATCTGAAGTCCATATCATGTCAGTTTATTTACTGTAATGCCAGAAGGCAACACCACTTCTAAGTCAGTTTCTTTTATCAAGGCTCTGATGTATTTCTTTTAGTAGTTTTTAAATAAGTGTAAGTTTTATTCTAAATGGTTTTTATGGTTATTTTATATTTACTTCATCAATTATTGAATTAAGAATTATTATAATTATTTGAATTGGATTTGTGATTTGAAGAGGGTTAAGTAATTAAACTGAAATATTTTATTAGGCCCTAAAGAATGTAGTAGATAGCTAAAATCTGCTAAATTTTATTATTGTATGGCACAAGAAAGAAGTGTTGTTGGATATGTTAGAATTGAAATAAGGAGTAAAAATGCATTACCATTTGTTTAATAATTATCTCTACAGAATGCTAGTTTATTGACTTTTCTAAGTGAGTTTTTTGAAGAATTCAGAAATCTTTGTATTGGTCACAGATCTATCATAATTGATTTTCCGATGCATTTAAAAATAAATGGAACACTAAATGTATATTACCGATGCAAACTGTGGATAAAGTTGAATGAAAAAATTAAAGTCTGAGATTTCTTTTCTCCCTCTCTACCTCTTCTCTCAACATCACAGCATCCATCTTTTCTAGGTATTTGATAGCTTGTGTGTATATTCTCTACTATGGAAAAATAGACTTCAAGAGGATATTCCACGTAAGTTGTTTGAGTCCAGATTCTCTTTACATCATATTATTTGCAGTAGATAATGTTTTCTTTAAAAAAAACCATAATTTCCTAAGATATCTTCACAAAAGAAATCACCTTTGTGTAAGTTAGACTTTTTGTATATGTGTCAGATAAGCCTTTACATAAAATAAAAGATAGGATAGGTCAAATTGTGATTATTTGTATTGTAGATTTTAGTGTGAGGTATAGTATTGAAATACCCTTAAGCAATTTGATTAAAAAATAATCTTACATTTTCAAGCAATTCTAGTTTTTAAAAATTTCATATATTTTATTAAAATGTCATTTATTCATAATTGTTACTCATCCTAAAAGTGGAAGGTTTATTCAGGTAAATATTATTAAAGATTATATTGCCCCTGTTTTATAGTTACTCACCCTAAAGTCTCAGATTTAAAGAAATACGTAAGTAAATATTTGGCATAAGTTGTTTGAAAAGTACTCTAAGTTTATCACAGAATTTTGAATTTTTATTTGCTCTAGTAAATTTTGATGTTGTACATGGAATGGTTCTAAAGTTGTCAGGAATCTATCTCCGTATCCAGAGTGCTCTAAGACCCTGGGTTCCCTTTGATACATTACTATATATTAAATTAATTTGGAAATGCCTAGATCTCTTCTGTTCCTTAAAGCATAATCTCTTCTATTTCTGCATTTTAAAACATGAAAAAAAAATCTCTATATTTATGGTGCTTAAATAGCTTAGAATTTCCACAGAATGTGTGTGTGTGTGTGTGTGTGTGTGTTTGTGTGTGTGTGTGTGTGTTTTATGCAAGGCTTCAGCTGTTCTAGCAAAGGAGAGTGTTAACTGCATTGGAAAATTTAGAGTTTTTAGAAGTTATGAGAATTCTACATCAGTAGATTTGGATGGGAAGTTGCTGATTGAATCATTTGAAGTTACCGTAATTTGTAAAAAGAGAAGATTCTTTTTTTTTTTAAAGAAAATAATAAATTTCTTTATTAATTTGACAGAGAAAGAATATAATAAGCAGGGGGAGTGGCAGGCAGAGGGAAAAGGAGAAGCAGGCTGCTCGTGGAGCAGGGAGCCTGATGCAGGCAGCCTGATGGAGGTTTGATCCCAGTATCCTGGGATCATGATCTGAGTGGAAGGCAGACACTTAACAGATCGAGCCACCCAGGCACCCTGAGAAGATTATTTAAAATGTGATCTTTTAAAAAATTTGAAGAAATTATTGTAAACTATTTTCTTTGATTCTCAAATACATAATTTTTATTACCCTGCGACTTTAGGAAAAAGTATTTTTATTGTATGCCATTAATATTCATCAAGTGTCTACCTAAATAAGTGAGAAATATATTTGATACACACAGATGCAAATATATAAATAGAAATAGATTTTTCACATAGCAAATTGAATTTTCTAGAACTTTGTTCAGATATCTCAGTCACTTCTGATGCAAAGAAATAAAAAAGTAATGCTGTATAATTTATGAAGTAAAAATTATACTATAGACAGTGATTCTTAAACATTTTTTTTTAAGATTTTATTTATTCATGAGAGACACAGGCAGAAGGAGAAGCAGGCTCCATGGAGGGAGCCCGATCTGGGACTAGATCCCAAGACCCCGGCATCACACCTTGAGCCAAAGGCAGACACTCAACAGCTGAAGCCACCCAGGCGCGTCTGATTCTTAAACTTTAATATGCATATGGATCACCTAGATGACCTTATTGACCAGTAAGTTCCAGACCCCAGTTGATTCAACAGTTCAAGGATGGGCTTTGAGATTCTGCATTTCTAAGAAACTCCCAAGTGATGCTGATCTACTGGTTGAGTGACCAACCAGTAGAAATAAGAAATAAGGCTTTATGGTTGTTCAAGCTTTATATTGATATCAGTTTATTATCCAATAATAGTTTGATATTTTAAGTGGTGCTTCAAGGTCTTTATAACAGGTACTTAACATTTTTAAATAGGTCTCTATTCTGAATTGTATTCTACCTTATTAAGTTCTTTTGGATTTTCTTCTATGGTTTTACTTATTTTTTTTATGTTATTGTTTTAATTCCAGTTAGTTAACATACAGTGCTATATTAGTTTCAGGTGTACAATGTAGTGATTCAGAAATTCTATAAATCACCTGGTGCTTATCATAAAAAATGCACTCCTTAACTCCCATCACCTATTTGGCCCATTCCCCTAAACCCCCTTCTTTTGTGGTTTTAAAACTTGTTAAGTTTTTGTATATGTGTCAGATAAGCCTTTACATAAAATAAAAGATAGGATAGGTCAAATTGTGATTTGTAATAATTTTAATTATCTTAAGCTAGGACGCCTGGGTGGCTCAGCGGTTTAGCGCCTGCCTTCGGCCCAGGGCATGATCCTGGAGTTCCGGGATCGAGTCCCACATCAGGCTCCCTGCATGGAGCCTGCTTCTCCCTCTGCCTGTGTCTCTGCCTCTCTCTGTGTCTTTCATGAATAAATAAATAAAATCTTAAAAAAATAAATGCCCCTCTTGGGTCTGAACTTCTTCCTTCAAATTAGTATAATGTTAAATTAGCAAATATTAATGCATAACACCTTCCTCTTTTGGAATGCTTAGAAAACTACACTTACTTTTCATAGTGTCGATGTTAATTCATTCTCCTCTTAGTAGGCAGCAACTCTCCTTTTGGTTTTAAGCTCAAAGCATACTCATTTTTTCAAGCTACCAGGATGAATAGAAAATTTGAGCCACATACAAATGCATATTTTATTTTAAATATTTTTTATTTTTATCAGAGTTAAGATTTTCAATTACAGATTACATCCCTTCCAAACAAATGGAAAAAGGTATTTATTTATTTTATTCCTTTTTTATGGTAAATTGTATTGACTTAAAACATTTGGAATTACTTTACTTATTTTAATGCCTTCCAAAGCATGTGGTTTCATCCATTAAAAAACAGATTAAAATCCAAGTTAGCTTGAATTACCAAGGGCAACTGAATATCTTCTGTGGGAAGATGATTCATTTACTCTGAAGAAAATATGTGAAGGTTAATAATTAAATACAAAGAAGGAAAAAAAAATAAAAAAATAAAAAAAATTAAAAAAATAAAAAACAAAGAAGGGAGGGAGAGCAGAATCATGTGAAGCATTGAACTAGATACTTTTTAATAATTGAATTATAGATAATGCAATTTATGTATTTTTACTTATGTTTATCTCTCATTCATAATCTTTAAAATTTAAGATCAATCTCATATTAGGAGAAATTAGTATATTGCTGTAACCGATATTATAAAATTGCACTTAATTGTATATAATTGTGCTTATTAGTGAAGAAACAACATGTATAAAATGTACATTTTTTACAAAATGTACAAATATGCCAAATGGACAAATGTACCAGTATATAAAATACTGTTATAATTTATTGTTATTTTGTACCATCAAAATTTCCAGATTTTTTTATATATAAAATATAGTTCACAATATACTCTTAAGTATAATCATAAAAAATTTAATGCCATAAAAGGTTTTAGGATTTGTGTACTGCTGTCTTCCATTCTTTAGACCAGGAATCTGAGGATTAGAATTTTTATAGGATTGAGAGGCCAAAAAGAAACCCATACCTATATGGTCAATTAATCTATGACAAGGAGAAAGTATAGTGGGGAAAGGCAGTCTTTTCAATAAACAAACACACAAAAAAGCCTCAAAATAGATTAAAGACCTAAATGTGTTAGACATGAAACTATAAAACTCTGAAAAGAAGAAATAGTAGTTTTTTGGACATTGGTCTTAGCAGTGTATTTATCGATGTGTCTCCTCAGGCAAGGAAAACAAAAGTAAAAATAAACTGTTGGGATGGCACCAAAATAAAAGGCTTTTCCACAGTGAAGAAAATCATGAAACAGAAAAGCAGACACTGACTGGAAAAGATATTTGCAAATGATATATCTAATAAGGGATTAATATCCAGAATATATGAAATTACACAACCCAACACACACACACACACACACACACAAACACACAAACCCAGACAATCCAATTAACAAATGAGCAGAGGTTGATAAGTTCTTTATATATTTTGGATACTAACCCTTATCCGATATTTCAGTTGCAAACATCTTCTCCCATTCCGATAGTTGCCTTTTGGTTTTGTTGATTGTTTCCTTCAGTGTGCAGAAGTTGTTTATCTTGGTGAAGTCCCAGTGGTTCATTTTTGCTTTTGTTTCCCTTGCCTAGGAAATGTATCTAGTAAGAAGTTGCTATGGCCAATGTCAAAGAGGTTACTGCCTGTGTTCTCCTCTCGGATTTTGATGTTTTCCTGTCTGACATGTAGGTTTTTAATCCATTTATAATTTCTTTTTGTGTATGATGTAAGAAAGTAGTCCAGTTTCATTCTGCATGTTGCTGTCCAGTTTTCCTAAGACCATTGTTGAAGAGACTTTTTTCCATTGGATATTCTTTCCTCCTGCAAAATCTATAAAGAATCTCAAACTCAACACTCAAAAAACAAATAATCCTGTTAAGAAATGGGCAGAAAACATAATTAGACATTTTTCCAAAGAAGACATTCAGATGGCTAATAGACACATGAAAAAATGCTCAGCATCACTCATCATTAGGGAAATACAAATCAAAACTACAATGAGATACCACTTCACACCTGTCAGAATGGCTAAAATTAACACGTAGGAAACAGGTGTTGGCAAGGATGCAGAGATAAGGGAACCCACTTACACTGTTGGTGGAAATGTAAACTGGTAAAGTCACTCTGGAAACAGAATGGACGTTCCTCAAAAAGTTAAAAATAGAACTACCCTGGGATACCTGGGTGGCTCATTACGTTAAGCATCTGCTTTGGGCTCA